GGAGAGGGACCCTAGCTGTGGAGGGGGAGCCAGGCTGCGCAGAGAGGCTGCTGCAGAAGCAGCAATATCCCCAGGGTCAATGTCACAGCAGTTTCACCACGTGGTTAACAGAGTCACTGCCGCACAGCTGAGGGGAGTGCTGCTCTTTGGCTGTCAGTGCAGGGCTGGAGATTTGCAGCCTCCCCTAACTGCTGGAGGTGCAGGTGTGGCCTGAACTCAGGTTCATGGGGTTGGTTTGGAGAGTGCAGATTACAGGCTGGCCAGCTGCTCTGAGCAGAAGACAAGAAGGTTCTTGTCCCAGCATCAGGCTGCACTGAGTGTGCCTGGCCCCTTGGGATGTGTGACAAGGACATTCCCACGGAGACAAAGACAGTGAAAAGGCTTTTAACTGCTGGAGGTGCAGGTGTGGCCTGAACTCAGGTTCATGGGGTTGGTTTGGAGAGTGCAGATTACAGGCTGGCCAGCTGCTCTGAGCAGAAGACAAGAAGGTTCTTGTCCCAGCATCAGGCTGCACTGAGTGTGCCTGGCCCCTTGGGATGTGTGACAAGGACATTCCCACGGAGACAAAGACAGTGAAAAGGCTTTTATTGAGAGAAATGGTATGATAATCACAGATCACTCAAATGGCACAATCATCAGAGCTAGAAACGCCACCAGGTTGTTCTAATCTAGAAGGACCGGTGGCCTTACGTACTACAAAGCTTTGGTTAATACACTTGCCACCTCTCTTGGTACCCTGAGGGTAAAGGACAAAGGAGTAGCCTCAGCTCTGGCCAGCCAAGAGAGTTCAGGACCAGGTACCTCAGTTCTGGAGTGGGAGGTGCAAAGCTAAGGAGAAGCTAGCGAGCGAAGAGCCAAAGCAGCAACTTAGAGCTCTGCTTCACTCACTGACTGAAACGTGCAATGAAGAGCTGACAGACTAGCAAACACACAGTTCTGAAGGCAGCACCCCGCCAGCAGCAGTGCAGCAGGAAGGGTGGCAAAGCTACACCCATGTCATCCTGAGAGTGGCCACTGCTGACTACGGTCTCAGCTCTGCAGGCAGCAGTGCAGGCATAAAGGTTGCCTTAGAGCTCTGCTTCACTCACTGACTGAAACGTGCAATGAAGAGCTGACAGACTAGCAAACACACAGTTCTGAAGGCAGCACCCCGCCAGCAGCAGTGCAGCAGGAAGGGTGGCAAAGCTACACCCATGTCATCCTGAGAGTGGCCACTGCTGACTACGGTCTCAGCTCTGCAGGCAGCAGTGCAGGCATAAAGGTTGCAACAGCGCCACCACCAACAGCAGTGCAGAAGGAAGGGTAGTAGTGCCGTAGACCCCCTGCAATCACCTTGTGACCCCCACACAGCTCCTTTTGGGGGCAGGACCCCACCATTAAAACACCCTGAGATTTCAGCTTTAAATGTCTGATACCATGAAATATATAATTTTAAAATCCTATGACCATGACATTGACCACAAAGGACCCTGAATTTGGTTGGGCCCTATGGATGGGCCAATGGACGAATTCTGTCCATCCAGTTATGACCTCCCCGAGAGGTGGATTCACTGCAATGATGGGGAAAACCCCTCCTGCTGATGCAGGCAGTGGCTGCACTAGCCACTCATTTCTACTGTGTATTGGGGTCTGCTGCTCCCAGGCTCTCAGCTGCTTCCTGCAGCTCCCTTTGACTGCAAACAGTGAACTGCAGCCAATGGGAGCCACGAGGATCCATGGCAGCTGAGTCATTAAATAAACAAACCGTAGTGGCCCATTGGCAGCTTTCTCGCAGTGGATCCGTGGACCACTTTGAGAAACATTGCCATAGAGTCTAGGATGACTGTAGCTCGAGAAACCCATCCCCAGTGGGCTTATTCCCCCTCCTCCCCATGTCCCGCTGACGCTATCTGACCCAGGATCTCCCAAGTCCTCCTGGGCCATAGAGGACAGCAGCAAACAGGCTGTACAATCCCAGGGGCCATGAAATCAGAATCTCTACCTCGCTCACCACCCAGTGGTCTCTGGGGTTGGACAGGCCAGAGGCTGCACAGAGCTGAGACCTTCAGCAACGTCCAGAGTTACAGTGACAGCAGGACAGACAGTGCACAGAGAGAGGTCACTGAGACGGGGGGGAGGAAAGGAGGTGAGGCCAGAGAATCCCCTGGTGTCTCAGGGACAGAGTCTGAGCTGGGATCCAGTCCCCACCCAGAGCCAGGGTCGGATTCTCTCCCCAGGGAGGGAGCCCGGAGGGAAAGTGAAGATCGAGGCCTCGGTACCAGCATCAATAAATGTCACCTGCCCCCAGTCACAGTCCAGATAAACCCGGATCCTGCTGGGGGCCCCACTCAGGGACAGGGGCGTTGCAGGGGAGGAGAGAGCCTGGAACTGACCCCCCCACTGCTCCACAGCCCAGATCCCCCCCTTAGGGCTACGGCTGATCCGTCCCTTCCGCCTCATAGAGTCTCTGGCCACCCCCACAGCCCAGTGTCGTGCACCCCTGACCTCCACCTCCCAGCAATGGCTCCCGGAGGTGAATCCCTCACAGCCCAGCACACAGGTCCGAGAGTCAAATCTCTCAGGGTTGTCGGGCAGTAGCTGGGGTGTAAGTTCCCAGCTCACATGTTTCCGATCCTCAGACAGGATGAGTCGGGGATGGGCCGTGTCTGGATCCAGAGTCACAGTCACTGGGGAGAGAGAATCAGAGCGTGAGGGGCAGAGCTCAGCCCTGGGGGAGACTGAGGCCATTTCTCACCCTCCTCAGCTCAGTAGGCTGCATTCCTCCTGATCCAATAGATATAGTATACTTAGATTTTCAGAAAGCCTTTGACAAGGTCCCTCACCAAAGGCTCTTGTGTAAATTACATGGCCACGGGATAAGAGGGAAGGTCCTTTCTTGGATTGAGAACTGGTTAAAAGACAGGAAACAAAAGGGTAGGAATAAATGGTAAATTTTCAGAATGGAGAGGGGTAACTAGTGGTGCCCCCCAAGGGTCAGTCCTAGGACCAGTCCTGTTCAGCTTATTCATAAATGATCTGGAGAAAGGGGTAAGCAGTGAGGTGGTAAAGTTTGTAGATGATACCAAACTGCTTAGGATAGTCAAGACAGAAGCAGACTGTAAGGGACTCCAAGAAGATCTCACCAAACTGAGTGATTGGGCAACAAAATGGCAAATGTAATTTAATGTGGATAAGTGTAAAGTAATGCACATCGGGAAAAATAACCCCAACTATTCATACAGTATGATGGGGGCTAATTTGGCTACGACAAATCAAGAAAGAGATCTTGGAGTTATCGTGGACAGTTCTCTGAGAACTTCCACACAGTGTGCAGCGGCGGTCAAAAAGGCAAATAGGATGCTAGGAATTATTAAGAAAGGGATAGAAAATAAGACCCAGAATATCTTACTGCCCCTGTATAAAACTATGGTACACCCACATCTTGAATACTGTGTACAGATGTGGTATACTCACCTCAAAAAAGATACTTTGGCCTTGGAAAGGGTTCAGAAAAGGGCAACTAAAATGATTAAGGATTTGGAACGGGTCCCATATGAGGAGAGGTTAAAGCGACTGGGACTTTTCAGTTTAGAGAAGAGGAGACTGAGGGGGGATATGATAGAGGTCTATAAAATCATGAGTGGTGTGGAGAGGGCAGATAAAGAAAAGTTATGTATTAGTTCCCATAATAGAAGAACTA